CCCCAAAACCCCAAAACCCCAAAACCCCAAAACCCCAAAACCCCAAAACCCCAAAACCCCGAGTTAGGTCAAGCTTACTGAAGGAAATAATAAATTTCTTTTATATGAGATTTACTTCAGCAATGAACAAGATAAGGAAATTGAATCTTGCCAACCTTGTGCTAGACGAACTCCAAGGCTAAAGAGGTTGAAAAGAACACTCTGACAGTGTCCTTCATGAAGAATTCAGTACTTCAAAGCAAATTTGAACCTGCAGTAAGAGCTTATGGGCTAATATTTGAACTAGCTTACCCTAAAGGACAACAGGAAAGATGCCTTTATATATCATTAAAGCAGACTATCGGATCGCAAGGTCAATCTCCTTGGAGCTTTTGGTTTTAGAGGAAATTGATAGTGTGAAAAATTAATAACTGATTTTCTAATTTAGGCAGAGTTTTGTGCAGCTTGTTATTGCTGATGAAAAAGTGTGAATTAGTAAAAACCGCCGTCAGCAGTTATTTATAAAAACCCTCTTTCACACTTCAAGAAGTAATTACTCGGGCTAAATTATCAACTGAAGGTTGCCTTGTGCTAATTTGATGATTGCGAGTAATTGTATGCTTCTAGAAGTTTCTTTGATATTTTGTCAGAATTTTATAGGTTAATATTCTCTTCTGTATTTTTAATTTAGATGGAATTTTAGGTTGGGTTGGAGAGGAGATTTGAGGTTGGAAGGGGATTTTGTACCATGGGTGGTGTCTTGGGTTCTTGTGCGAGGTGTTTGAGGTCAATATGGGTTTCTTGAAATATGAGAATTTTATGACTATATTATGTAAACCATGTTTTTGGAGATGATTATAATATTTCTGTTATGGATTATAACTAATATTACTAAGCACAAAAAATGTCTAATAGAGAGAAATAGTTTATAATTGCTTAGTAGCAAGTAGTGTGCAAAAGTTTTGTACCTCAAAAACTACCCCCATCTCTTCTACCTCCTTTCTTCAGCTTCTTCACCAGTCTCAAGCTCATAACTGCATAATAAGAGTCTTTCATTATTGATACTAGTCATTTCTAAAAGAATTCTGACTTTTAGTAGGTTTACCATGTCTGTGTTGTAGTTATCTGGTGATCCCGATCAACTTTTATTCTTATCAGAAAATAAGCCAAGAGTCTGATGAGAAGTGTGAAGGAAGATTTTATGCTCATATCGAAATTTCTACATCATTACTTCCTTGATCACAAATACTATCAAACCTTAATCAGCCCAAAACTCCCTAATTATCCTAAAAGTATTATATATTAACGAAGAAATTCGTACTTCAGCTGGTGAGCTTAGGAAGGGGTTTTGGGGTTTTGGGGTTTTGGGG